GTCGGCTACGGCAAGACCGCGATTTCGCTTGGGCTCATCGACTGTGCCATGGACGACATCAAGAAGGAGTTCAAGGCCAAGAAGCTGGACAACATGAAGGGCTATATCGCGACCAAGGCGACACTCATCATCGTCCCGCCGCACTTGACGCGTCAATGGGAGTCCGAGGTTCGCAAGTTCACGGGGAAGCGCTTCACGATTGTCACCCTCCACACGGCGTCGAACCTGAATCCACTCAAGGTCGAGGACGTCACCAATGCCGACATCGTTATCGTCGCGTCGAACCTGTTCAAGAGCAGTGTCTACAAGTCTAACTTGGAAGCGTTCGCGGGCGCAGGAGATCTGCCGATGCAGGACGGACGTTTCTTCGACGCGCGTCTGGACATCTCGCTCAAGGGCCTCCAGGAGCAAGTCGACCGTCTGCGGGACGAGGACAAGGGCCCCTCTGCCGTCATGGAGCAGATCCAGCAGGGGCGTGAAATTGGTGAGTGGGAAATCATTGCATCGCGGCGACGGTCGACACTCATCACCGGCGCTCCAGACCAGGCGGCGCAACTGTTTGCACCGACAAAGCGGCTGAAGGGCAAGTCCTACCGCGATGCCGCTGATCAGTCGGAACCAGCGAAAGCGAAGACGTCTAAGGAAGAGCCCAAGAACGAACCCGCCCCTGCGAAAGCGACCGACACGAAGAAAGCTCCTCCCAAGGCTGCGCCTTCCAAGAGATCTACCGTCAGTCCTCGTACCGGCCTTGCTGTGGAGGTAGTGATTCCTGTTCTCCCGAAACGTCGTACGTCTCCTGCGTCAAGTGTCGCCACCGCCCCGCCCACTTCTGAAGCTGAACAAGAAGAGGCCGAACCAGAAGAGTCTGACGCTCCCCGTGCTCGTCGCGCCGTCAAACGCAAGGCTATCGTCATCTCATCCGACGAAGACGAAGAAAACGAGGATGAGGCTCCGAAGAAGAAAGGCAAGGGCAAAGCCAAAGCCAAGGCACCTCCCAAGAAGCGTCCCGCGAAGCGTCCAAAATCCGACGACGACTCCGATTATGCGGGTTCCGGCTCGGAAGCAAGCGGGTCCGACGAGGAGGAGATGGGTGATGCGACATTCGAGGAGGAGTCTGACAGCGACGAGGACGAGAAGCCAAAGAAGGGCAAAGGAAAGGCGAAGGCGGCCCCGAAGAAGCGTGGTCCCGCGAAGAAGGCAAGCCCCGCGCCGACGACCTCCGAGTCTGAGGACGCCATGGACGTGGATGACGATGAGGACTCGCCGAAGCCGACCGGGAAGGGGAAGAAGCAGCCCGCGAAGAAGAGCAAGGCGGATAGCAAGCCTCCAAAGGAGAAGAAGCGGCGCGAGGACTCGGATCCATGGAAGCTCAAGTCGAGCAGGGTGCAAAAGGACTGGACGGAGATGCAGGCGCCGCCGCTCGAGATGTTCCACTTCGCACGCAAGATTGTGGACGAGTACACGTACCTCGACGGGCGGGTGCTCGCGATGGTCACGAGGCTTAAGGCGGAGAGGCATTGGGTGCTTTCGGGTACTCCGCCAATTCACGACTTCGGCGCCCTCAAGACTATCTCCGCGTTCCTCAATATCCATCTCGGTATCGACGACGATAACGAGGGACAGTCTCTGCAAGTCAAGAAGCGCAAGCGCGAGCAAACAGGTGTGTATGAGTCCTCCTTGGAAGACCGCGGCTAACGTTGGCTAAACTGTCACAGCTGTCGAGAAGTTCCACTCGTTCCGAGAAGTCCACAGCTTGGAGTGGCATGCCCACCGTCATCAGCTTGGCCAGACATTCCTCGACCGATTCGTCCGTCAGGTGAGGACATTATCAGTCGAACTGTTCGTAAGTCTCATCGTCTTGTGTAGAACGTCGCCGAGATCGACGAGATCTCCTGGAGTCAGGAGATTCAGAAAGTCAAGCTCCCCGCTGCTGAGCGCGCGGTATACCTCGAACTCGACCACTACCTCCGCGCTATCGAGATGATCGTGAAGCGCGGCAAGAAGAGCGAGAGCGACCGAGAGAAACGTCTCGCCAGAGCTCTTGGAGACAGCAGGTGTGTTTATCGATCGACTTCCCATGTACATGGTCGTTGACGCGGGATGGCGAAGCACGGCCGAGGAAGCTCTGTTGAAGCGATGCTCGCACTTTGAGCTCGAGACCTCCGAACAGGAGAACGCGATGAAGGCATGCGAGGTCATCGTCCAAGAGCGCAAGAAGCAGCTCGAGGATTGTAAGAAGGAGCTGCTCAAGAAGCTGCACGACGCGGTCAAGATGGAGAAGAAGATCGGTAAAACGTCTGAGGAGTCTCTTTTCCGAGAATACGTGCGCGTGACCCGAACAGAAGGTGTCGGGGACAAGGACGCCACGAAGTACGTGCAGGACCTCCTCGACCAGGCCGGGATTGCAGGGCCCCTTACACCTGTCACCAACAAGGCCAGCGACGGGATGAAGAAGGGCGCACGAAAGGACGACTCGGACATCCCGAAGGCGATCAAGGATCTCATGTGGGATCACCGCGAGCAGACACATGAGATCCGTCGTATCACCAAGGAGCTCGTCGGTCGCGTCCGATCACTTCGGTACTTCACCGTCGTCCGAGACCTCCAGAGGCAGGCCGAGAAGCCACCGGTCGTTCACTGCCCTAGCTGCGACAACGAGGAGGTTCCGATCGAAGACATCGCCGTCCTCTCATCGTGCGGCCACATGGGATGCTACAAGTGCGTCATGGAGTGCGCCGACCGAGAAGAGTGCGTGTACGCTGCGTCGGGGGCCTGCAGGGCTGCAGCGCGTGCGCTCAACGTCGTCAAGGGCGACACCCTCGGCGTCGACGACGAGGCGCGAGACGGGCGTGGCAAGCACTTCGGGTTGAAGCTCGAGAAGATTATGCACTTCATCAAGTATGTCGCTCTACACTCTTCATGCTAGTCTTCTGTCTGACCCGTCATCCCAGGCACACCATTCCAAAGAAGGAGCGCGTGCTCATCTTCGTCCAGTTTCCCGATCTCACGGCGAAGGTCGCTGAGGCACTCGAAGCGAACGACATCGCCTTCCTCGAGATCAAGGGGTCTGCGTCCGTGAAGAGCAAGAACCTCGAAAAGTTCCAGAACGAGAGCAAGGAGCGCGTCCTCCTTCTGAACGTAATGGACGAGAGCGCGAGCGGTGCGAACCTGACCTCGGCCAACCACGCGATCTTCCTGTCGCCGCTCCTTACGCCGACGCAGGAGATCTACGACGCGTGCGAGACGCAGGCGATCGGTCGTCTTAGGCGGTACGGGCAGCTCAAGCACGTCAACATCTGGCGCTTCATTAGCTTGAACACGATCGATGTCGATATTTACGAGCAGCGTACGAAGCAGAAGGTGACATGAGTGGACCGGTGATCGTTGGGACTGATGGCGGAGGTATATACATGATGAACGATCTATGGCTTATTTACATGGCATCTGTAATGTTGTGCAGTTAGTAATATCCCACCCAGCCCAAGACGTCACGTACCGCTGTAGCACCGAAGCTCAGGTATGTGAGCACTAGTATTGGGAGTTGTTCACGCATGTTAGCTGCGATTTCGGGCCTGGTCTCGAGTCTGGCCAGGAGTCTAGCAACTTGTGGCAAGATGCTTCTATATGATCGTCTTGGATTCGTCCATAGATCATTTAGAACGCCTTTTCGGGGAGATTGGGTCAATAAGACAGGCCTAAGCCTACTTGATGAGTAGGACAATCATTGTACCCGGTATGGATCTTGTGACTGTAAGATGCATCAACGCCCGCCTAGCTCAATCGGATAGAGCGTCAGACTCTTACGAGTACGTCGGGTGATTACGATTGCTAGCTCGGTGATCTGAAGGCTGCGAGTTCGACCCTCGCGGTGGGCTAATGGTTTTTACTGTGCTGGACTAAGACCGTCGATCAGAAATTTGCGTCCGTCATTCGCGAAGTTTTCATCTATGTCACGTGATAGGTGGTCAAAATGCTTCCCATATCAGGTAGTGCAAACGCCCGTTGTATGAATTCAAGCAGATGGTTTAAAATCTCCTAGCAAGCTCACTGTTTGTTCACAGCCACTTGAACTTGCAGAGCAAGTTGTCTGCCAGACTCCACTATAGCTAAGCGGTCAAGGCGACAGACTAGGGTTAACAGCATGCCGGCACCCATAAATGATGTGCAGCTAGTGATATCTTACACAACCCATTTGCGAAAGCTTCTGACTCCGACAGTTGATCAACTATTTGTATACCGCTCGTACTGAGGCAAGTAGAGGTAGTAATATACCCAAACAAATCTGCCTTCGGGGGTGGTGAGACCGTGCTGCTGCTGATCGGCGCGTATGATGTCGTGGCGGCACGAGCAGAACCTTGCCAGTGCTGAGTCGTTGGTGGGCCTGGGTATGCGCGTAGAGCGAGTCCCGAACGATTGATCTGGGAAGATTGTCGACCGACAGAAACTCAAACGAGTGTATCGACAGCGCGAGGCTCGGTGCCGATGCTGTGATTGCGAAGTACTTACCGTATACTAAGGTATCAAGTGAAGGCTAACTCTCTGCAACATTGGTGGATGGTAACAAATATCAACGCCCGCCTAGCTCAATCGGATAGAGCGTCAGACTCTTACGAGCATCCCGGGTGATTACGATCATTGGTGAAGTGATCTGAAGGCTGCGAGTTCGACCCTCGCGGTGGGCTACTGGTTTTTTGGAGGTCGTAAAGAAAATTTGCGTCCGGTGGACGCTGGTGGGCCGAACGCGGCTGTCACGTGATAGGTGGGCCAAATGTTTCTCCGTATCAGGTAGTGCAGACGCCCGTCAGACCGCATTTGTTCTAGCGAGCTTGTGGGGCTGGATGTCATTCTTTCGCTGTTTGTTCACAACACCCGAGGTCAATCACCATGCGTCCACCATGGGTCGTGTAGAGTGAGGAGTTATCGGATAGTCGGGCGAATGTTTTAGCTGCTTGCGGACTTTGTAATGCGGATAGATCGACAAGGAGCGACATCAATTCCAAGACACTATAGCCAAGTGGTTAAGGCGACAGATTAGAATATGCGTTATCTGTTTCTCTTTGAGAGCGTAGGTTCGAACCCTACTGGTGTCGTATAGAAGAGCATGATTTTGCCATGTTTTTATGGGGCTTGGGCCGAATGTTTGGATTCGAGTCAGGGGTGGTTCTTCCCAGTCATACCGAAAACTCAGTCTCCCATGTTACTGACTCACTGCAAATGGTCGTAATCCCCCACTCGGAATCGGGCGTACTATATCTGAGCCCCGAGTTGCTTCGGGCCTGTGTCAAGGCGACAGAGTAGTAAGGGATTATCTAGTCTCCCCTAGGCAGACGATAGACCTATTGACGTGAGGGATGGACGGTCCTACAACGGGATTATCGTGTTGTCTCAGGGTACAAGTGCTCTTTGACTGCTGACGCCCTAAACGTTTACTGCACGACCCGACACATACACACAAGGGATACATTCGAGGGCTCCTTAAACGTGACACGTACATTGGCCCATGGAACAGTGTCTCTGCTTTACATGTTGGCACGCCTGTCTCTACCCAACAGTTGCCAAGGAGGGTAGAGGAGGTCGTACACGAGAGCCCGGATAGCCTCATTATTCTCCTCGGTGTCATAGACCTGCTCGGGGTCTGGAAGTCGATCCTCCGCCTCGACCTGCTGGTTGTATGCCCGGATGCGTATCAGGTTGTCGATTTCGGCACTGCGGTTGGCCACCAGGGTCTGCAGGGCGTTCGCGGTGGCGTTTGTCCGTTCATTGGCAGCCTCTACAGCACGGAAGAGAGCGTTCCGGAAGGCGGGGCCAGGGACACGATGCTCCATGACCGTCGTGAGACCATGCATTCTCAGACTGAGATCGTCGCGGCCCAGAGCCTGTTCCAGAAGCTCAGCAAGACCATGAGCGGCCTGAGATAGAGCACGTTACCCGCTGCTGAGCCTCGGTAACCGCTGCATTGATTGAGGGCTCTTGCGGCGGGTCCGTATGCATGACTTCGGCCCCAGAGGAGTGGCCAGTGCCCGATGTGGTCGTGGTCTGTTGTGCCAGGCGCCGGTACTAGTAGTCAGTATAGTCGCATATATGCACAATGCCTGGGGCCTATGTACCCAAGTCTCGGTTTGAACGATGTGGTTATGCAACCTGGGCGGTGCTCCTGCGCTGGCCTCGAGGTGCTGTTACCGACGATTGGGCGAGGGGTTCGTGATACATATATGTGCCGGGCGACTCGGACGTACGTTGCTCGCCGTGCGGCCCGTCTGCATATGGTTCTCTTGCTTGTTGCTTTGCATCGTGGAGGAGGTGGGGGTGGACAATATGCCAATGCGCACGGAATGATACGTGGTGGAGGTGAAGAAGAGAGGACGGTTTTGCAACAAGGTTTGCCAGGCAGTTGGCAGTTGGCCACCTTGGCGTATGTCGAGGCTCGATGGTGAGCCCCCCAAACCTCTGCTCGCTCCCGCCGCCGCCTCACATGCCTTTTGGTTCCTCGATGGGGTCGGGACTCGGGGGACCCCGTTCGACAACCGGGTTCGTAGATCTTGAAGGATGGTCCGGAGTGCCCGCTCGGTCGGCGCTGACTTGAAGGATGGTTATTGGACCTGGTGGTGTCGTGGCATGGAGAGGAACAACCTTTGAGGCTCTCGCTGTGAGCTCTGGAGTTCTGGAGAAGTGTATGCGATCACCCGCAACCAAGCGAACTGCTAGAAATACTGTGTTAACTCACATCGTCTTTCTTTCAGACGCACTAGAATCGATCAATCGCAGCCAAAGTACTGCCAGTGTGACGTGGTACCGTATCTACTCTACTATGTTCAACGTCCTCCTCGCCCCTAGGACAATGTTGTCGATCAACCTCGTTTGGCCAATCCACATCGCCCCGCTCAAGACGACAGGACGTCCCGCGACCTCAGCCTCCCACTGGGGTTGCGCCATCTCGTCGGAGAGCACATCGAACGAGTCCGGGTCGTTCATCTCGATGTAGTCATACCGCAGATCAACCTCGCCGCCGAGCTCGCTCTGCTTGCGTTCGATTACAGCATGTGCGCGCGCTACGCACTCTGCCTTGGGAAGGCCTGTCTCCCAGGCTTCCTTCGCGTCTTGCAGGGCAGCGTAGAGCGCAGGTGCGACGCCGGCGCGCTCGTGGTCCGTGAGGTACGCGTTCCGCGAAGAGAGAGCGAGAGACGTCGTCGGGTCGCTGCAGAAGCACGGATCAGTAAGCGTGGCGAGAGCTCCCCCGACAGTCGGGAGCCGGAGGTGGGGAGGAAGCACGAACCGCGCGGTGGGAACGATGAAGAGGTTCTCGGGTTCGGGGTGGGAGAGAAGGAGGTCGCGCGTCATTCGGCGAAGGAGAAGGGCTTGTTGAATATCCTTCTGCCCGAAGTACGTACGCGTTGGCTGGCGGGCGGTGCGTCAGCGACTCGGTTGCGTTCTCCGCGCGAGATACGGGCGCATAGGAAGGAGAGACAACATCTGCGCGCACCTCGATGACATTGAAGAGCTTCGTGACCACCGTCGCGACGCCGCGGAAGAAGGTCGGACGCGTCTTGCCCTCCATCTGGTGCGAGTAGCCTTTCACCTCAATGAACGTGCCCTTCTGCTCCGCCACGTCCTGCGAGATCCCATTCGGGTACATCTCGAACACGTTCGGGACGAACACGGCGGCGGCCGTGCGATCCGCGACTGAGACTTGGGAGAGGAGCTCAAGGTCGCGGGGGAGCGTGCGGGGGTACGTCGCGAGGTCTTCGTGCGGCGCGAACTGCGCCGGGTTCACGAATATCGAGAGGACGGTCAGATCGTTCTCCGCGAGCGACCGTCTGACTGGTTGAGGTGCGCCGATCTGAGTACGGAGATGGTGAGATGGCGGACGGTACGCACCGAGAGAAAGGTGACCCTCGTGCAGCGCACCCATCGTCGCGACGAACCCGACCGACTTCTTGTCCTCATACGCCTTCCGCCTCCACTCGCGGTATGCTGCGACGGTCGGGAAGAGTGGGATCGAGGAGGGCGGCAGCTCGGTAGACATGTTGCGTCGTAGGATGGTGTGCAGATGGGGTCGAGTGGATCGAGCGAGATATCTGGAGAGACGGGCATTAGGTTGGGTATACGGAGGCATGAGCCGGGATATATACGGGCAAGAGAGGAGCGGGAGAGTGCGCTGTCGAGTCAGGAGACGACATAGCTGTCGAATGCGTGGCCGAGGAGCAGAAATTTCATGGTCAGATCCCAATCACAGCAGAATGGCGCGACACACGTGATTTTCCGAACTCCAGTTCGGAGTCTCATTCCGCGAAGTTCGGAGTCACTTCCGTATTTAAACTTAAAGGATAAAACGGCCCCTCCGGGCAAACCTGGACACGAATGACACGGTGTGGACCAAGTGTTGTCGCACAGTGGAGAAAAAGCTGCGGTCTGACTGAGTGCCAGCCTCCAGGGGTCGGGATGCCAAAAGTCACGTGAAATAGACTTGAGGTTTCTCGTTGACAGACCTGAGGCCTGAACACTGATCGTGTCCAGAGATATATACGAGCAGATACTAGCAAGAGTCGCACTGTCGCAGACACGGAGTCAAGTCAACATGTTGGATCGCATGACGGACTTGAATTCAACCCCATCTTCTGTCCCACCTCCCTACACTTTCGCCAAGCACCCAGCAACCTCCTTGTGGCGAGTCCGCAACACCCTCTCGCGAGTACACCAGTGTCCACGTATCTTCGGATTCTAGTCGAGAGGCACGCAAGGGAGGCGCCTTAACGCCCTCCACAGGAATGTATGTCACCGGAGATGTCGGGACACTATGAGCGGTCACCGAGACAAAGCCAGGGTAGGGCATATTGGGCGAGCTGCTGCGTATATGAGCACGCCGTGAGATGTAGGAGCGAAGGTACGATCTCACAGAATAGTATCCATCAAGTCTTGCACAAAGGACGAAGGGATGAGGCCTCTCCAGCGCATCACGGTGAGCTCGCCCACCGAGGAAGGTTCTGGGGGCGTGTACACAGAAATGTACGGATCGCACCTGTCAGCCCCCGACAATCTGAGTAGGGTATCAGTTGGTTTGCTATATAGAGCGCGAAGCTCACGTACCTCTGCGAGCCGAGGCTGGCCATGCCGACCCATTCGAACAACGAGGAGACCTTCTCTTCCCATTCTTCCACGTCTTCTTTCTCGCTGCCGGCAAGGACCAGGTCGCTCGGTTTCAACACTGGGATGTGCACATTCGCCCGCGTTCTCTCGCTTCGCTCGAGCCGGTGTTCGACGCTGTTGACAGGCAAGTCGCTCCCTAAATTACGTGTGGGTGAGTTCCGATGGTATATTGCAAGTTTAATAAATCCAGGGTCGAGAAGACAAAACGCCTTGCATTGCAATTGTCCGGGCGTCCCAAAGTGCAAGTCCGTGCCCTGCAGGCTGCTCCTTGGCATAATCCATGCAAGGCGACGAGTGAGACGCAAGTGGTCCTTTCACCGACATCACAGATGACCAATCAAGCATGGGCGCGGGTGTGGACACATCGAACGCACAACCGCATAGCACCAACGCACCTGGATCTTGTAGATGGTACGCAATCTTCCACGGACCTCTGCGCGCGTCCCAAGCATGCAGCGCTGTGGTCTCTTTCGCGCCGTATGTCAACCACTTGGCCGTGTTCGGGCGGGCATCTCTGACCGATATATGGATCACTGCGCGGACGGACGGGGCTCTGAGCAGATGGGACTCGACAAAGGGGGGGAGGTATGCACCGTGCGTGTCTTGGCACTCTTTCCAGGGCAGCCGCTCGCCAGGGAGGCCGAGGGACTCGTACGTCTGTTTGCATGATGCGATGGTCAAGACGCCGCTCGAGTCGAGGGACCACACATCGTCGTCTGCTGGACCCGCAAGACCAAGAGCCACGACCTTGCTAGAGAGAGGAGACGTCAGTGTGGTGGAGCAGCGATGCCCACGAGCGGAGGGTGAGACGGCACCTCTCAGCCGCGAGTTGGTTGATGTGCGGCTTGGCGAAGCGGAGGAAGTCGCTCAGCGAGGATTCACACTTGTGGTATGTGAGCTGGAGGCTTTGGAGCGCAGTTTGCAGGGATGCGTTCGCGGGGAATAT